CCAGGATCAAGAGTCTGAGCCAGCTAGGGGCCCTAAGAATGAGTAATGTCTTTAACTTTGAGGAGCTCCAGCCTGTGCAAAAATTGTCAGTGGGAGACACTGACAAAGTTAAGACAAAAGCAGAAGAAGGAAACAAAGGACAAGAATAAGAATGATAATACTGAAAGGACTCATACTAATACTAATACTAATACTAATAAAGTAAAAGGGAAGGAAGAAGGAGTCGATTGAATTCCACCAAAAATAGTATGAACTTCTCTTGTTTCATCAAGTGCATTGTCATATCAATTTCTGTCCAATTTATTTATAAAACATTATAGCTTAATAAGAAGTTTCCTAGAAAAATAGTCTTGCTTGAAGGTTTCTTTCTTTCTTTCCTGAAAGCATGAATAGATTTTTGCTGTACGAGAAGAAAACTGCACATGGATTTTTCTGCTTTGGGGATTTTATTCTGGTCTCTTATTTTAGGTTTGCTCAGAACTCAGCTTAGATTCAGTATAACTTGTAACTGGAGGTAGAAGTCAGCCTTTGAGTTGAAATTTGAAACCAAGTAGTACTTCAAAAATGATATACAGCCTACCAAATGTAATTAGTATACAAAGCCTATGAAAGCAATAAATTTGGGGGCTGGCTGCTTATTTGAAGTTTTGCTTTTTATTTTTCATGTTAAAGAATGATTTCCAATGCATTTATGGAGGTAATTTCGATGCATTAAAGTTACCTCCAGCATCCTGAGGCTAGGAGCTATTTGATGAGTATCGTCATAATGCATTTATCATGTTCAGATGTTCTGGAGACAGTAGGGTAAAGGGGAGTGAGAAGGTGCCATGGAAAGACATCTTAAACCTTGGGTCTCGGGGCGCCTGGGTGGCTTAGTCGGTTGGGCGTCCGATTTTCGCTTAGGTCATGATCTCGCGGTTCGTGGGTTCGACCCCTCGTCGGGCTCTGTGCTGACTGCCCGCTCAGAGTCTGGAGCCTGTTTCAGTCTGTGACTCCCTCTCTCTCTGACCCTCCCCTGCTCACGCTGTCTCTCTCTCTCTCTCCTAGAAATAAAACATTAAAAACAAACAAACAAACAAAAAAACCAAAACACCTTGGGTCTCCCCACCTCTCCTCCTGCATTCAGTTCTCATTTGTTTTCACCAATGTTATAATTTCAGCTTTATCAGTATTTGTCCACATTTCTGACTTTTTACCTTTATATTTATAATAATAATTTATATTCAAAATCTGTAACAATTTTAATAGTAAGAGAATTGTATCCAAATTAGTTCTTGGGGTGTCTGAATTAGTAGGTTAAGTATCTGGCTCTTGATCTCAGCTGAGGTCTTGATCTCAGGGTCATGAGTTTAAGCCCTGAGTTGGGCTCCATGCTGGGAATGGAGCCTACTTAAAAAAAGAAAAAAAAGTTCTATTTACTATTTACAGGACTGGCTCCTTCTTGCCATTTAGATCTCATTTCAAACATCACCGTCTTTAACCACACTATATAAAACTTCTCCCTCTCCCTAGTAATTTGTCTATTACATTATTTTGTTATATTTTCTGATTGTTTTTGCGCTTCCCTATTTACTGTCTGTACTCCTCATTTATATGTAAGCTTTATGGAGGTGCCTGGGTGGCTCAGTAGGTTAAGCCTCCAGCTCTTGATTTCAGCTCCAGTCAGGATCTCACAATTGGTGAGATCCAGCCCCAAATCAGACTCAGCACTGACAGCTTAGAGCCTGCTTGGATTTCCCCTCCCTCCCTTTCTCTCTCTTCCTCTCCCACTTGCTCTCTCCCACGCACGTGCACGTGTGATCTCTCTCTCTCTCAAAATAAATAAACTTTAAAAATGTTTTAAAAATGTAAGCTTTAGGGGCGCCTGAGTGGCTCAGTCGGTTAAATGTCTGGCTTCGGCTCAGGTCACGATCTCAGGGTTCATAGGCTCGAGCCCTGCGTCAGGCTCTGTGCTGACAGCCAGCTCAGAGCCTGGAGCCTGTTTCGGATTCTGTGTCTCCCTCTCTCTCTGACCCTCCCCTGCTCACGCTGCCTCTCTCTTTCTCTCTCTCAGAAATAAATAAAACATTAAAAAAGTTCTTAATTCCATTGAGATAATATATGCATAGACTCCTTAATAGGAAATAAGAATATCAGACAAGTGGAGTCTAAAGACAGCCCTGTAGACTGACATCTACATCTATTAATTATGATTTTCTAGAAAGAAAACACTTGTTCTGGAAATAAAGCATTTGTTGTAGAAAAGCAGAGCTTAGAATTAAGCCAAGAAATTTAGTTGTTTTGTTTGCTTTTTCTGTCTGTAACTGTCTTCTCTTTACTTTAAAAATCCCAACTATGAAGTCCTTCAAATAGTAAAACAAGAACCCCTTGACCAAGCATCCTAGTGAATAAACAGTAAGAAGGTGGATGCTTCTTTTCCTCTTCCCACTAAAGTGAAGCTGAGCTTCAAATCTGTTCTGGCAAAATTCTAGCTTTAAGTTTTATTTTTCTCCCAGTTTTTATTTGAGAAACTATATGGTAGTTGAATTAAAGAAAATTAGAAGATCAAAAATATGTAGGAGTGCGTGAGTGGTTCAATCAGTTAAGCGCCCAACTTTGGCTCAAGTCATGATCTCAAGGCTTGTGAGTTTGAGCCCTTTGTTGGGCTCTGTGCTGACAGCTCAGAGCCTGGAGCCTGCTTCAGATTCTGGGTCTCCCTCTCTCTCTACTCCTTCCCTACTTGTGCTCTGTCTCTCCCTTAAAAATAAGTAAACATTAAAAAAATAAAAAATATGTAATGGACCCTCAGGAAATATGATATTCTTTTACCTCCCTGGGTTTTCTTTAATTCCTTAAGTATGCACTTACGTTTCTGTATATCTGAAAAACTGCTTGTCTTCAGTAGTGCCAAGACAAAGAGCTAGTTGGTTCCTGCTCATTAGTATTTGAGGCAAGCATCTTTACATCCTGCTTGACTATCTTTATAACTAGCTCTGATGTCTGCATAGATTCTTTCAGGCTAAAATACTGTATTTATTTAATGGGGCGCCTGGGTGGCTCAGTCGGTTGAGCAACTGACTTTGGCTCAGGTCATGATCTTGCGGTTCATGGGGTCGAGCACCACAATGGGCTCTGTCTTGATAGCTCAGAGCATGGAGCCTGCTTTGGATTCTGTGTCTCCCTCTCTCTGTCCCTTTCCTGCTTGTGTGCTCTCTCTCTCTCTCTCAAAAATAAACATTAAAAATTAAAAAAAATAAAATCCCATATTTATTTAAGCATATCATCATTGGGGATTGAAGTTGCTTTTAATATTTTCTCATGTGATAGATGCCACAATACACAGTGGTTAATAACATATTGTAAGTATCTATACCTACCTACATAATTTTTATTACAAAATAATTTGGGGCTAATTCTCAGATAAACCATTCCTTGGTCAAAGATTTTAGCTCGCATGTGTTCTAGTGATAAGATTTCTTTACGGCAAGAATAAGAATTAATTAAATAGGATTTGGGATGTATTCAGGTCTTGAGCTTTTAAATTTATTCTGCGACAAAATGATTTTTTTAAAGGAATGTTAATGACTTTCCAGTGCTGTAGGGAGACATTAAAACCAGCAGGCTTCTGGCCTGGACACTACTGAAGACAAGTTTTGTGATTGGCCTATGAAAGGACTTCTGGGTAAATACTACTATTAGGAGTTAGAGGGGTATCAAAAGCTTAGCAGCGGTGCTTTAAAATTGCAATTATTCAGACAATAGGCATATAGGACACTTGAGAAGCAACCTTACAAGTATAAACTTAGAACATGCCTTATACATCCTAGTGGAGAGATGCTGATTGTCTGGAGTTAAGTCAGGTAAGATTTTCTAGGGAGATGAGATTCCTGTGTGAAGTTCCTAGAAGATGCTCTAAATAAGAGATGCTTTTCTAGATGCTAACCCAGGGCTTCCTCCAGTTCTGTGCCCCTAGGCTTTGTCCAGAGATGTATAAAGAAGAGTTAAATTTGTTCCATAAAAAATATGTATATATTTTTGTACCTATACATAAATTGTGTATGTGTGTGTATACACAGTTATTTGTAAATACGTGTATATTTTATTTAACCTTTTACTCAATTTGCTTTCTCTTGTGCTAACACAATCATGCAATTCCATAGATTCTGTCTCCTCTCCCTTTTTCTCCCTTTTTCTCTCTGCAGAATGGGGTCCTCCACTCCACGCCTATGCCACTTTATCTCCCCCGGTTCACATGCACACACCTCGATCCCACCAAGCTGTCTCCTTCCACATGTGGAGATCCTTCTACCGCTCCACAGATTGATTTCCTGGGTGTTCCACGTGCTCTGACCTCTATACAGCTGTGTTTGAGGGACGAGGGACATCCTGGTTCCCCTGCTTCCCCGCCATTATAACTCCTCCCTTCCTCTAGTTACTTTGAGATAGGATGAGGCACTATTTCAAATAACACTTAGACTTGCTCCTCAGTGGGAGATTTTGGTTAATTCAATAGTTTCAAGCACACTTTTGATCTATTACTTCTGGCAGAAGTGACTTTGCCTCCTCCTCTACCTGCCCCCCTTCAGAAAAAAAAAGAAGAAATCTCACAATTCTATGGAAGGTTGTTTTCAATCTTTTTGGCCTGCCTCTGTAAAGTGGCCTTTCAAGAAATAATAAACAAAAATGAGAAGTTCAACTGGAATTAATTTTTATTTAACAGGCTTTTGCTAAGACATTGCTTGGCACAGCGTTCTGCACAAGTGGGAAGGCAAAGGAAAAATAGCTGCATTCACCTCTCTGGAGGCTCAGTAATGATTTGGGAAGATGACACAAATGTTAGCGATTACAGGATTTGCATCATACAGAAGAGAAAATAACTTCATTGACTCAAACACAAGAGTCCTCCATCTTCAAAAATCGGATTAAACTCCTGCACTTAATGTTAAGAGCTTGGTGAAGTTTATAGTCTCTGATACAGAAACATCGGTAACAATATATTCCATGTTTCTTTTTTTTTTCAGTTATAGATGAAGCAACTTGCAAAGCATTCTTGTAACATGAAGCAAGAAGAATAATATTTAAAAGTAACCCAATCATTATACGTCAATACCGTCAATGTAGCTTCATTCCACTATCTTTTCTGTGCTTATATCTTGCATGAAATATTGGATAAGCCAAAGTGTGTAGGAAGAAATTTTCCTAGTCCTTAATCTTTGCAATGGGAATGCTCATGTTCAGGCATATCTTCTTTAAGAACTTTGTCAAGTCCAGTGGAGCAACACAGGCAGTGTTTACATTCCTTCTGATTCCATGTTGCTTGACTCGGGATTTCACGGCACCCCCTTTAATCCCAAGTATTTCTTTCCTCTGGGGCTGGAATGTCCCAGCTGAACGCTGTGCTTCAAAGTATAATGTACAGCTAGATCTGAGCCTTTTTTCTCTAACAGGAAGCCCCCTAAAAAGTGCCACTGAACAAGCCATTACATTATTTTATAATGATAGACTTGGCTACTATCCTCACATAATTGAAAAGACTGGCAAAAGTGTGCATGGAGGAATCCCTCAGTTGGGATCCTTACGAAAGCACTTGGAGAAAGCCAAGGCAGACATTTCCCATTACATACCGACACAAGGCCTGGGCTTGGCTATCATTGACTGGGAAGACTGGAGGCCTCTCTGGGCAAGAAACTGGAAACCTAAAGATATTTACAAGAATCTGTCTATTGACTTGGTTCAGCAACATGAACAACTTAATGAAACAGAAGCCGCCAGGAGAGCCAAAGTAGAATTTGAAAACTCAGGAAAGTGTTTCATGCTAACGACTTTAAAATTGGGAAAATTCCTTCGACCAAATTATTTATGGGGTTACTATCTTTTTCCTGATTGCTACAATCATAATAGTAGAAACCCCAATTACAATGGAAGTTGCCCTCAAATAGAATATAAAAGAAATGATGAGCTCAACTGGTTGTGGAATGCAAGCACAGCCCTTTTCCCATCTATTTACTTGAGTAGCAAATTAAAATCTTCTCCAAATGCCCCTCTCTTTGTCCGTAATCGTGTTCAAGAAGCCATTCGGGTTTCTAAAGTACCCAGTGCTAAACAACCAATTCCAATTTTTGTATATACCCGTCCAGTTTTTACTGACTTGGATTTGAAATATCTTTCTGAGGTGAGTAAATCAAGGTGTAAGGACTATGAATCAGTGTTCACAAACAGTGTTTAAGGAATTTGACGTCATTTTTGACGGGAGTGAAATTTGGCTTTTAATATCATTTAGGAATATGCACACAGGTGGTAGTTCTGCATTGTTATATGAATGCAAAATAAGAATATTTCATTTTAATGTAATCATATAATAACTTAGCAACAATGAAAAAACTAGGTAGCACAGACAATATAGTAATTCAGTTCCCTTTCTTTTTCTTTCATGGGTCTACCCTTTGTCAATGGAAGCAATTAAAATAATAGAAAAATCTGTATTTTTGATAGTGTAGTGGTGGCATGAAAGGTGGAAACAAATAGTGGAGAAATATTCAAATTATTGTTATTGAGTCAGAGTTCTTAGCTTTGATGTTACTGTCCTATGCATAACATTTCTATTTTATTTCTATCTGTTAACTCTTTCTGTCACATTTGCCAGGATGACCTTGTGAATACAATTGGTGAAACTGTTTCTCTGGGTGTCTCTGGAATAATAATATGGGGAAGTCTCAATTTAAGCCAAAATGTGGTAAGTTTAATTGACAGGAAGTAGATGAAAACATTTCTACTTTTCATGTTCTTGAGGATTGTGGTGGTACTGAATAATAAAATAAGTATTATGCTTGGTACATAGTAATGTGTGCTCAATTAATACTGGTTGTATCAAACAAACCTTCATTTGCATGGTTATGTTATAAGGCAGAAAGTATTGTGCCTGTTTTCCAGCGAAGAGAAACAGAAATTCAGGGAAATTTATTGAAATTCTCTAGGTGCTGTGGCTAGTAAGTACCAAAAGCAGGACTACAATCTCAGTTTTCTGACATAGTGTTTGGTTTTCTGCATTGCATAATGACATCTCTCTCCTCAAGAAAACTATGAACTAGTCAATGAAAGAATGAAAGAATAGTCAATTCATTCATTCATTCATTCATTACAGTTTATTAAGCACTTACTTTACTTACTCATTTAGTCACTCAATGGCAGTTTATTATAGGGGTCAGCAGATGATAGCCATGGGGCAGCTCTGACCTAGTATCTGCTTTTGTACAGCTCATAGGCTAAGAATGATTTTTACTTTTTATTGTTGTTGTTGTTATTTTTTTTCTGAAGAGTATACAAAATTCAAAAGAAAGAAAACTGTTTCTATGCCCCCCAAAAGAAAAGCGTGAAAATACAGGAAGCAAAATGTTAAAAATTATAGGTGACTTAAATATTATTTTTCTTTACACTCAACTATATTTTCCTTTTTAAATTATTTTTTAAAATTTAAATCCAAGTGAGTTAACATATAGTGTAATAATGATTTCAGGAATAGAATTTAGTGATTCATATAACACCCCAGTACTAATCTCAGCAAGTGCCCTCCTTAATGCCCATCACCCATTTAGCCCATCCCCCTACTCAACACACCTCCAGCAACCCTCAGTTTGTTCTTTGTACTTAAGAGTCTCTTATGATTTGTTTCCCTCTATGTTTTTATATTATTTTTGCTTCCCTTCCCTTATGTTTATCTGTTTTGTATATTAAATTCCACATATGACTGAAATCATATGATATTTGTCTTTCTCTGGCCAACTTATTTTGCTTAACATAATACACTCTAGCTCCATCCATATTGTTGCATATGACAAGATTTTATTCTTTTTGATCACCAAGTAACATCCCATTAGATATATATACCACTCCTCTTTATCCATACATCATTTGAAGGACGTTCTGGCTCTTTCCATACTTTGGCTATTGTTGATAGTGCTTCTATAAATATTGGGGTGCCTTTGCCCCTTCAAAAGAGCATGCTCCTATCCTTTGGATACATACCTAGTAGTGCAATTGCTAGGTCATAGAGGAGTTCTATTTTTAATATTTTGAGGAACCTCCGTACTGTTTTCCAGAGTGGTTGCACCAGTTTGCATTCCCACCAGCAGTACAAAAGGGTTCCTCTTTCTCCACATCAACCAATATCTATTGTTTCCTGAGTCGTTCATTTTAGCCATTCTGACAGATGTGAGGTGGTATCTCATTGTGATTTTGATTTGTATTGCCCTGATGATGGGTGATGTTGAGCATTTTTTCATGTGTCTGTTAGCCATCTGGATATCTTCTTTGGAAAAGTGTCTATTCATGTCTTTTGCCCATTTCTTCACTGGATTATTTGAGTTTTGGGTGTTGAGTTTGATAAGTTCTTTATAGATTTTGGTTACTAACCCTTTATCTGATATATCATTTGCAATATCTTCTCCCATTCTGTCAGTTGCCTTTTAGTTTCGCTGATTGTTTTCTTTACTATGCAGAAGTTTTTTTATCTTGATGAATTCCCAATAGTTCATTTTTGTTTTTGTTTCCCTTGCCTCTGGAGTCATGTCAAGTAAGAAGTTGCTGTGGCTGAGGTCTAAGAGGTTGTTGCCTGTTTCCTACTCTAGGATTTTGATGGCTTCTTGTATTACATTTAGGTCTTTCACCCATTTTGAGTTTATTTTTGTGTATGGTGTAAGAAAGTGGTCTAGGTTTCTGCGTTGCTATCCAGTTTTCACAACATCATTTGCTGAAGAGACTCTTTTTTTCCATTGGATTTTCTTTCTTGTTTTGTCAAAGATTAGCTGGCTATACAGTTGTGGGTCCCTTTCTGGGTTCTCTATTCTGTTCCACTGATATTTGTGTCTGTTCTTGTGCCATACCATACTGTCTTGATGATTACAGATGTGTAATCATCTGTACATCTTGAAGTCTGGAATTGTGCTACCTCCAGCTTTAGTTTCCTTTTTCAGTATTGCTTCAGCTATTCAGGGTCTTTTCTGGTTCCATACAAATTTTAGGATTGTTTGTTCTAGTTCTGTGAAAAATGCTGGTGTGATTTTGATAGGGATTACATTGAATATGTAGATTGTTTTGGGTAGTATTGACATTTTAACAATATTTGTTTTTCCAATCCATGAACATGAAATGTTTTTCCATTTTTTTGTGTGTCTTCTTCAATTCCTTTCATAAGCTTTCTATAGTTTTCAGTGCATAGATTTTTCACCTCTTTGGTTAGGTTTGTTCCTAAGTATTTTTATGTTTTTTGGTGCAGTTGTAAACGGGATTGATTCCTTGAGTTCTCTTTCTGTGGCTTCATTATTGGTGCATAGAAATGCAACCAATTTTTGTACATTGATTTTATATCCTGCAACTTTGCTAAATTCATGTATCAGTTCTAGCAGTTTTTTGGTGGAATCTTTTGAGTTTTCCATTTAGAGTATCATGTCATCTGCAAAGAATGAAAATTTGACTTCCTCCTTGCTGATTTGGATGTCTTTTATTTTTTTGTGTTATCTGATTGCTGAGCCTAGGACTTCCAACATTATATTTCATTAAGTGGTGAAAATGGAAATCCTTGTTGTGTTCCTGATCTTAGGAGGAAAGCTCTCAGTTTTCCCCATTGAGGGTGATATTAGTGATGGCCTTTATGATCTTGAGGTATGATCCTTCTAACCATACTTTCTGGAGGGTGTATATCAAGAAAGGATGCCGCATTATGTCAAATGCTTTTTCAGCATCTATTGGGAGGATCGTGAGGTTCTGATCCTTTTTTTTTTATTAATGTGATGTATCACATTGATTGATTTGTGGATATTGAACCATCCCTGCATCCCAGGAATAAATCCCACTTGATTGTGCTGAGTAATTATTTTAATGTACTGTTGGATCTGATTGGCTACTACCTTGAGAATTTTTGCATCTGCGTTCATCAGGGAAATTGGTCTCTAGTTCTTTTTAGTGGGGTCTTTTGTTTTGGAATCAAGATAATGCTGGCCTCATAGAATGAGTCTGGAAGTTTTTCTTCAATTTCTATTTTTTAGAACAGCTTCTAAAGAAAGGTGTTAACTCTTCTTTAGATGTTTGGTACAATTCCACTGGAAAGCCATCCAGCTCTGGATTCTTGTTTGTTGGGAGATTTTTGATTACTGATTCACTTTCTTTATTGGTTATGGGTCTGTTCAAATTTTCTATTTCTTTATTTATTTTTCAGTTTGGGTAGTTTATATGTGTCTAGGAATTTGTCCGTTTCTTCCAGATTGCCTAATTTGTTGGCATATAATTGCTCATAATATTCTCTTGTTATTATTTGTATTTCTGCAGTGTTGGTTGGGATCTCTCCTCTTTCATTTGTGATTTCATTTATTTGTGTCCTCTCCTTTTTCTTTTTGATCAAACTGGCTAGGGATTTATCAATTTTGTTAATTCTTTCAAAGAATCATCTCCTGGTTTCGTTGATCTGTTCTGTTTTTATTATTATTTTTTGATATCATTGATTTCTGCTCTAATCTATATTATTTCCTTTCTTTTGCTGGTTTGGGGTTTTATTTGCTGTTATTTTCCCAGCTCTTTTAGATGTAAGGTTAAGTTGTGTATTTGAGACCTTTCTTCCTTCTTTAGGAAGGCCTGGATTGCTATATACTTCCCTCTTATGACTGTCTTTGGGGCTGTCATGTTTCATTTTCATTGGTTTCCATGTACTTTTTAATTTCCTCTTTAATTTCTTGATTAACCCACTCATTCTTTGGTAAGATGTTTGTTAATCTCTTAGTATTCATGGTTTTTCCAAATTCTTCTTGTGGTTGATTTTGAGTTTCAAAGCACATTGGTCTGAAAATATGCAAGGTATGATCTCAGTCTTTTTCTACCTGTTGAGGGCTCCTTTGTGACCCAGTATGTATCTATTCTGGAGAATAGTCCATGTGCATTCGAGAAGAACGTGAACTCTGCTCTTTATGACGGAATATTCTGAATATATCTGTTAAGTCCATCCAGTCCAGTGTGTCATTCAGAGCCATTATTTCCTTGTTGATTTTATTCTTAGAATGATCTGTCTGTTGCTGTAAATGGGATATTGAAGGCCCCTACTATTATGATATTATTATCAATGAGTTTCTTTGTTTGTGGTTAATGATTTATATATTTGGGATCTTCCTATTGGGTGCATAAATATTTACAGTTGTTAGATCTTTTTTGGGGATAGACCCCTTAATTATGATAAAATGCCCTCCTTCATCTCTTGTTAGTCTTTATTTTAAAATTTAGTTTGTTTGATATAAGGATGGCTACTCCAGTTTTCTTTTGATGACCATTAGGATGATAGACAGTTCTCCATCCTCCTACTTTCAATCTGCAGGTGTCTTTAGGTATAAAATGAGTCTCTTGTAAGCAGCGTATACGTGGGTCTTGTTTTCTTATCCATTCCAATACTCTATGTCTTTGGATTGGAGTGTTTAGTCCACTGATATTAGAGTGAGTACTGAAAGTCATTGGGTTGCCTGTTGAGTTAGTGTTTCTCATGATGTTCTCTGGCCTTTTTAGTCTTTGTTGCTTTTGGTCTTTTTTGTTTGTCTTTTCTCCATTCAGAGGGTCCCCCTTAAAATTTCTTGCAGGGCTGGTTTGGTGGTCATGAACTCCTTTAGTTTTTGCTTGTCTGGGAAACTGTTTATCTCTCCTTCTATTTTGAATGACAGCCTTCCTGGATAAAGAATTCTTGGCTTCATATTTTTCTCATTC